CCCGCACCCGTCCCCCCGCAACGCCCGCAGCGCCCGCGGCTGGGAGAGCGAGGCGCGGGAGCGGCTGCGGGAGCTGGGGGTGCTGCGGCTGCTCGGGGTGCGCGACGGGCCGGGCGGCGGCCGGGGGGCTGCGGGGAGCGGGCACGGGGCGGGACCGGACCAGCGGGACCAGCTGGGAACTGGGGGAAGTGGGCTTGGGGGGTCCCTGCCCCAGTTTGGGACTGGGGGGAGCGGGGACGGGGGAGCCCTGCCCCAGTTTGGGACTGGGGGAAAGGAGGTTGGGGGGTCCCTGCCCCAGTTTGGGACTGGGGAAAAGGGGATTCAGGGAGCTCTGCCCCAGTTTGATCAGTTGGGAACTGGGGGGAGTGGGGTTCGGGGAGCCCTGCCCCAGTTTGGGACTGGGGGAAAGGAGGTTGGGGGGTCCCTGCCCCAGTTTGGGACTGGGAAAAAGGGGATTGGGGGCTCCCTACCCCAGTTTAATCAGTTTGGGACTGGGGAACAGGGAGCTGGGGGGTCCCTGCCTCAGTTTGATCAGCTGGGAACTGGGGGGAGTGGGCTTGGGGGAGCCCTACCCCAGTTTGGGACTGGGAAAAAGCGGGTTCGGGGAGCCCTGCCCCAGTTTGACCAGTTTGGGACTGGGGGGAAGGGGGATGGAGGGGGGCTGGACCAGTTGGGGACTGGGGGGAGTGGGCTTGGGGGGTCCCTGACTCAGTTTAGGACTGGGGGGAAGAGGGTTAGGGCGTCCCTGTCCCACTTTGACCAGTTTGGGACTGGGGGGAAGAGGGTTAGGGCGTCCCTACCCCAGTTTAACCACTTTGGGACTGGGGAAGAGGGAGCTGGGGGGTCCCTGTCCCAGTTTGACCAGTTTGGGACTGGGGGGAAGGGGACTGACGGGTCCCTGCCTCAGTTTACCCGCTCAGAACAGGATTTAGGGCAACACTCCAGGGCAGAGGGTGAATCCCTGCTTCAGTTTCCCCACTCGAGAGGGGGTTTAGGGCTCCTGTAGGGGCGGGGGATGGACCCTGCCTCAGTTTCCCCACTCGGGGGTGGTGCTTTAGGGGGCAGGGGATGGGCCCTGCCTCCGTTTCCCCTTAGGGAAGGCGGGGAGGGTTCGTGGAGGGTTTTCTGTGGAATTCTGGAATTAATAAAGGCGAAAATTGGTAAAAAAAAAACAAGGAAAGAGGCATTGGGGGGAAACAACGAACCCACCTTCCTCCTTCCTTTTTCTCCTTCCTTCCTTCCTTCCTTCCGCCCTCCCTCCCTTATTTTTATTTCCGGAAAAAGCCGATTTTCCCTTTTTCCCCCTTTTTCCCCTCTCATCCAGGCCATTCCTCCGGCCTGTCTCTGTTGTTGTCCCCGAGCTGGGCGCGTTTGGAGCCCCCTCGGTCTCGGTGTGCTGCTGCCGCAACCCGGCAGTCACGGCTGCGCCCCGGCCGGAGCTCCCGGAGCCGGGGCTGATGCTTCCCCCGCTCCGAGCTCCCGGAGCCGGGGCTGATGCTTCCCCCGCTCCGAGCTCCCGGAGCCGGGGCTGATGCTTCCCCCGCTCCCACCATCCCGGCCGTAAATCCCAGCCCTGCCCTGCCCTGCCCTTTCCCCCCGCCCCGCGATTCTCCCGCTGCGCTTTCCGGGATCCCGGCACCGCTCCCGGCCTTCCCTGGACCTCTGCGAGGGACTTTGGATCCTTTTTATAAATTAGGTTTCGAGGGGAATGGGAAAAAAAAAAATCAAATGTTGTGATCTGGGAGCTCGCCCTGTTTTCCGGAGGGAATTTTGGGGGGATGAGCTGCAGGCTTCCCCAAATCCCCGCGGAGCCGCTCCTGCCCCGTTTGTGGGGTCGGGAGGGGGATGGGGCCGCCCTGCTCTGGCCCGGCCCTTTTTGGGTGATTTCAGCTGGAATTTGGTCCTTTCGGCTGGGAGCGCTTGGATTTTCCGGGAAGGAAACTTCCCTGGGAAGAATTCTCCCTGGATTCTCCCCGAGATGATCCCAAATCCCAACAAAGCCAACCCCAGCGGCTGCAGCGTTGGGGTCCTGCCCTCCTGAGCCTGCGCTGGCCTTGGTCCCATCCCAGAGCCCACAAACCCCATCCCAGAGCCTTGGTCCCATCCCAGATCCATCCACACCGACCCCATTGCAGGGCCTTGATCCCATTTTGGGTTCTCCATTCCCGACCCCATTCCCCCCGTTTGTGGGGTCGGGAGGGGGATGGGGCCGCCCTGCTCTGGCCCGGCCCTTTTTGGGTGATTTCAGCTGGAATTTGGTCCTTTCGGCTGGGAGCGCTTGGATTTTCCAGGAAGGAAACTTCCCTGGGAAGAAATTCCCAATTCTCCCAGGATTCTCCCCGAGATGATCCCAAATCCCAACAAAGCCAACCCCAGCGGCTGCAGCGTTGGGGTCCTGCCCTCCTGAGCCTGCCCTGGCCTTGGTCCCATCCCAGAGCCCACAAACCCCATCCCAGAGCCTTGGTCCCATCCCAGACCCCACAAACCCCATCCCAGAGCCTTGGTCCCATCCCAGATCCATCCACACCGACCCCATTGCAGGGCCTTGATCCCATTTTGGGTTCTCCATTCCCGACCCCATTCCCTGGCTTTCCCCCCATTCCCAGACTTTTCTCCCCGCTCCAATCCCTTTTCCAAGCCCTTTCCAGGCCCCCCAAGGCTGGGAAGGGAAAGGCTCTGGGGCCGACCCTCATTCCCTGTGCTGGATTCAGGGCAGTCAGGCCCGGTTTTGGGGTTTTTTTGTGTTTTTTTCCCTGGAATTGGCTGATTTGGGGACAGCCTGGCCGGATTCGGGGCGGTCAGACCGTTTAGGATCCGTCCTTTTGGGGTTTTTTCCCCGGAATTGCCGGGTTTGCTGCCGATTCTCTCCGCCGACTCCAGAGGGAGCCCGGACAAGGGAGGATGAGCGGCTGGGATTTTCCAGCCGGGAAAGCCTCGGGAAGGGAGCGGAGCTGCCCTGCAAGGCCGGCTTTGCCTTCATCTTCACCCCCGAGAATTCCAGGTTTTCCTTCATCTTCATTCCCGAGAATTCCAGGTTTTCCTTCATCTGCATCCCAGAGAATTCCAGATTTTTCCTCATCAGCATCCCAGATTTTCCCATATCAGTATCCCGGATTTTCCCTCATCTGCATCCCAGAGAATCCCAGATTCTCCTGTACCGGTATCCCAATTTTTCGTGTATCCACATCCCAGATCATCCCAGATTTTCCCTCATCATCGTCCCAGAATATCCCAAATTTTCCTTCATTGGCATCCCAGATTTTCCCTCATCATCATCCCAGAGAATTCCAGATTTCCCCGTATCATCATCCCAGATTTTCCCATTTCAATATCCCAGATTTTCCCTCTCCCCATAAATCTCCCCACATCCCATTTTCCCGGGTTTTCGCCCCAAAACCTCCCTCCAGCCCCGGGTTTTTCTTTCCCCCCGCAATCCCGGCCCTTTTTTTTGGGACATTTCCCAAATCCCCCTGGAATTGCGAGCGCGCCCCTCCCCCACCCGGGCCGGGGTCACCGCGGGGTCACCGCGCCCCTCCCCCACGCCGACCCCCCCCCTATTAATTACTGACAGCAATTAATTAATGAGGAAAGGGGGGAGGGCGGCTCCCGCCTGTTGCTAATTAACACCGGGAGCGTTAATGAAGGCAGCGCAGCCCGGGCCGGGGTTTAATTGATTCGGGGAATTAATTGGGGGTGGGGGGCGCCCCGGCCGCCCTCAGCCCGGGGAAATCGGGATTTTGGGGGATTTAGGACGGGTTTGGGGTTTGCGGGACTGGAAACGCAGGAAAATGGGGATTTATGGCACTAGAAAAAAACGGGAAATGGGAATTTGGGAAAACGGGGATTTGTGGCACTGGAAACACGGGGAAATGGGGGTTTGTGGAAATAGGGATCTGGGAAAATGGGGATTGTGGAACTGGAAAAGCCGGAAAATGGAAACACGGGGAAATGGGGAACTGGGAAAGCAGGAAAATGGAGATTTATGGAACTGGAAACACGGGGAAAATGGGGATTTGGGGAACTGGGAACACGGGAAAAATGGGGATTTGGGGAACTAGAAAAGCAGGAAAATGGAAACACGGGGAAATGGGGATTTGGGGAACTGGGAACACGGGGAAATGGGGATTTGGGGAACTGGGAACACGGGGAAATGCGCGATTGTGGAACTGGGGTTTTGTGAAAATGGGAATTGTGGAAAACGGGGATTTGTGGAAATGGGGATTTGGGAAAATGAGGGTTTCTGGAAAATGGGGGTTTATGGAAAATGGGGATTTGGGAAAATGGGGGTTCATGGAAAATGGGGATTATGGAAATGGGACTTTGTGGAAATGGGGTTTTGGGAAACGGGGATTTATGGAAAATGGGAATTGTGGAAATGGGGATTTGCGGGAAATGGGGTTTTGGGAAATGGGGATTTGGGAAAGGGGGATTTATGTCTCTGGAACCTCGGCCCGCGCTCCCCTTCCCCCGCTCGCCGAGCCCCGCGATCTCTAATCGCATCTGCGGAGATGAAAGCAGCCGGGGGCGGGCGGGGCCCTGACGTCCGCCGAGTGTCCCCGGGCGGGTGACAAGGTGACGGATGGCGCTGTGACAGTAATCGCCGCATGAGAGCAGCGGCCGCGCCCGGCTGCGGGGGCACCGGGAGGTCACGCACGGGGGGTTCGGGGGTGGGCTGGGACGGGAGGGGGGTCCCGGCACGGGGGTCCCGGCACGGCCGCCCCCGCCGGGTTTTGGGGCGGTTTCCTGGGGTTTGGACAGCGCTGCGAGGGCGGTGCCGGAGCCGCAGGGACACGCGTGTCCCCCTGTCCCCCTGTCCTGTGTCTCCCTGTCCTAGCCGTGTCCCCCTGTCCCCGGCGGTTTCCTGGGGTTTGGACAGCGCTGCGAGGGCGGTGCCGGAGCCGCAGGGACACGCGTGTCCCCCTGTCCCCCTGTCCTGTGTCTCCCTGTCCTAGCCGTGTCCCCCTGTCCCCGTGTCCCCCTGTCCCTGTGTCCCCCTGTCCTAGCCATGTCCCCCTGTCCCCGTCCTGGCCGTGTCCCCCTGCCCCCCGACCCCGTGTCCCCCCGTGTCCCCGCGGCACCTTCCCAGCGGGACACGGAAACGGGAATGTGGGGAACTGGGAGCACCGGGGAATGGGGATTTGTGGCGCTGGGAACGCGGGGAAATTGAGATTTATGGCACTGGGAACGCGGGGAAATGGGGAACTGGGGGTTTGTGGAACTGGGAACATCGGGGAATGGGGAAATGGAGGTTCGGGGAACCGGGAACACCGGGAAATGGGGATTTGTGGCGCTGGGAACGCGGGGAAATTGAGATTTATGGCACTGGGAACGCGGGGAAATGGGGAACTGGGGGTTTGTGGAACTGGGAACATCGGGGAATGGGGAAATGGAGGTTCGGGGAACCGGGAACACCGGGAAATGGGGATTTGTGGCGCTGGGAACGCGGGGAAATTGAGATTTATGGCACTGGGAACGCGGGGAAATGGGGAACTGGGGGTTTGTGGAACTGGGAACATCGGGGAATGGGGAAATGGAGGTTCGGGGAACCGGGAACACCGGGAAATGGGGATTTGTGGCGCTGGGAACGCGGGGAAATTGAGATTTATGGCACTGGGAACGCGGGGAAATGGGGAACTGGGGGTTTGTGGAACTGGGAACATCGGGGAATGGGGAAATGGAGGTTCGGGGAACCGGGAACACCGGGAAATGGGGATTTGTGGCGCTGGGAACGCGGGGAAATTGAGATTTATGGCACTGGGAACGCGGGGAAATGGGGAACTGGGGGTTTGTGGAACTGGGAACATCGGGGAATGGGGAAATGGAGGTTCGGGGAACCGGGAACACCGGGAAATGGGGATTTGTGGCGCTGGGAACGCGGGGAAATTGAGATTTATGGCACTGGGAACGCGGGGAAATGGGGAACTGGGGGTTTGTGGAACTGGGAACATCGGGGAATGGGGAAATGGAGGTTCGGGGAACCGGGAACACCGGGAAATGGGGATTTGTGGCGCTGGGAACGCGGGGAAATTGAGATTTATGGCACTGGGAACGCGGGGAAATGGGGAACTGGGGGTTTGTGGAACTGGGAACATCGGGGAATGGGGAAATGGAGGTTCGGGGAACCGGGAACACCGGGAAATGGGGATTTGTGGCGCTGGGAACGCGGGGAAAT